TAAATTATTATTATTATTATTAATAGAATTAATAATACCAGTTAATTGAGAAGGATTAAATTTTTTTTTAATATATTGTTTAAAAATAGGATTTAATTTAATAATATTATTATTATCATTTAAATCATTTGAATTAAATTGATATTTTTTAATAGTATTATTAGGATTTAAAATAATATTACCAATATTATTTAATATACCTATACCATTTATAGCATGTATTTGTCTAAGTAAAGTAGATAATGATATTTTTTTAATAATCCAATTAGATCCAATTGTTAAATCTAATAATAAATCTCCTACTCTTTTTTTAGAACTCATTTTTAATATAATTAAATCTCTCATTTTAATTCCTAATTTTTTACTTGATTGAATTTCATTTTCTAATACTTGACAAAATATTTCATATTTTCTTCTCATTTCTCCATTTATAGATTCTAATAATCCTATTGCAGGTGGTGATAATGTTGTTATATTATTATTATTATTTAAATTATTATTATTTAAATTATTATTTAAATTATTATTATTATTATAATTAATATTAAAAAATAAAATATTTGAATCACCTCTCATTTCAATATTACGTAAAGTAACATTAATAAATTCTAAAGAATTATTATCATTAATATTATTTTGTATTTGTGCAATACATTCTTGTAAAATATGTGGTGTAAAAATATCTGAATATTCTGAAAATGATTTAAATATATTTGGTATTTCTCTTAATCCATTTTTTAATACTTCTTCTTCTTTTTTAGGTAATACTGCTATTTTTAATTTAGTTTTTTCATCATATTTTATATCTGTATTTAATAATATATTATAAAATTTATTATCTTTAATTTTACAAAATCTTTGTAATTCTTCTTTTGTATTAATTAAATTATTTACATTATTTAATTTATCTTCTTGTAATGCTATTTTAAGTAAATCACTTGATTCAGATATAAAATTAATTAAACTTGTTTTACCTGAACTTAATTTAATTGTTGGTTCAACTATTTGTGATTGAATTTGAATATTATTTTTATTTTTATTATTATTAATATTATTAGTATTATTAATAATATTATTTGATTGAATAGATGATTGATTAATAGATCTAGATGGTCTTTTTAAACTACTGGTAGTTGCTGTAATTGGTTGTTGAATAGTATTATTAGTATTATTATTATTAGATGAAGATATATTATTATTATTCATTGAAGATTTAATAGATGAAATTCTAGAAGATGGTTTTTTTAATTGACTTGTTGTAATTGGTGTTTGTTCAATTAATTTCTTTTTTGGTATTGTAAAATTAATATTATCAGATATATTATTATTATCATTATTATTAGTATTATTAGAAATTGATGATTTAAATGATGATGAAATTGAATTATTATGAACATGTTCATTACTATTATTAGATTTATCAGTT